TTGCGGGAAATGGAAGAAGATGATCAATATTTTTTCATTACTGTTTCATAGGATAAGGTTAATACTATCAAGTAAGCTACATTCCTTAATTCACCCTCTTCATATTAAACATACTTCTTAACCTCATATTTATTTGAAAAAAGATTAAGTTATTAGTAACTTAAGATTGTAAATTGAGATTTTAAATTTAGCACAACACTAATGACTTATTTCAAATAACGAACACATAATTTGATATATTATACATTTAACATTCAGTGTTGAGTTATAAAATCTAATATATATCTTTTTCATATAACATGCGAAAACCAATCAAGTGATTTAATCATATGATGATATATAATGAAAAGCAATCGTCTAACCTCACCATTTTATCTTTTTAGTTACCCTGCCAAGTGAGAATATAGATTACATACTCTTGCAACTTCTCTCACTATTTTTTGAGATTTCACTACTACTATGTCACATATCATCTGCAAAACAGAAGAAAAAAACAATTCAAAAGATTAAATAAAAAATATCCCTTATAAACTCACTCTTAAGACTTAAGCCTAACAAAAACTCTCTAACTAATTACTCTTAGAACTAACATGATACCGATGAGACCTCTGGCAAGTCCTTATTGTAGGGATTCCAAGAGAGTAGATTTCGTAGCGAAACTGTCTCTATATTTTTTTGTAGAGAGTAGATGTTTGGGTTTTGATCATGACATAATTTGTAAATATTAGATGCGGTAAATTAAAGAAGAAGAAAATAGGGTTTGATAAGCATACTAAGAGATCTGTTTATGCGCTCTTAGGAATATTCAAAGAATCAAGAGAAACATTTGACTCTACCTGAAGATTCAAAAAGTGTATTCAAATAGAACAAAACATTGTCCTATACCAATCTCTAACGCATAAATTACAAGGAAAACATGTGATTTTTCCCACAATGAGACAAATTTAGTTCCAGAGATAAGAGTAATTGTACCATCAATGGGAAATAGTATATCCGGTCTACAAACCAAATTGTAGGACATTTGCTAGATGATGCCACAAATCTATATATTGGAAAAATAACACGTTTAGCTTACTGAACTCATTACAAAAATCTATGCATATTAGAAAAAAATTCAAAAGAAAGAATACTAATCTTAATATGGGAGTCTAAACCCTTACAAATACACATAAACATTGGAAACAATGCAAAGATCCTAAACCCTATACTAAGTTTCTTAATATCATAAACATTGTCTTCTTCTACTAAGGGCCTATTCGTTTTTGTTGCTGGATGCAACATCTGGATGCCTGCATCCAGATGTTGTTCGTTTGGTCACTTTTAGATTTGTATCTGGATGCAGCGTTTGGATGCAAAATCAAAAATATCTCAAATATCTAGAAATTTGAGATGCTAAAAAAAGATGAGTTTGGATGCCAACATCTGCATCTCAAAACTCAAAAAACTAGTTTAACCTTCAATATAACTAAAAAAATTATTTAATATTTAACTGATTTTTTCTAATG